GATATGCATGTGTGGTTTGTGAGCAGATAGGGGTGTGTAGATGCCTGAGGATGATGCTGGGAATCAATTTCAATCAAATCCAGAGTTCACCACTATGGCTTGCCTCACCAGCCAGCTTGCTCTAGAATGACATTGTTGTGGAATAATTTTTAAGACACTGTGAAGGTGTTTCACTCTGGTTGGTTTAAATAAAAGCTGAGTGGCCAATAGATGGATAGGATTCCAGGCACAAAGGACCCTGGGAAGAAGGGCAGAGATGCCAGGAGTCACCAAGGAAGCAGCATGGACAGTACAGACTGAAGGTAATTGGGCCACTTAAAAGAATGTAAGTTTAAAGATATGGGTTAACTTAAGAGCTAGTTGGGAACAAGCCTAATCTATTGGCTGACCTTTCATAATTAGAAATAAATCTCTTGTCCTTATTGAGGAGCTTGTGGTTCTGACGAAAAAGTCTGACTACATGATGGAGCAATCATTTCACCACCTCTTCTTTCCTAAGCTGAATTACACTCAAGATGACATGCCCACCTGTCACTTATGTAGTTCTAGGGGTCCAAGCTACAGCACTTTAATTACTGAAACATCTCCCCACCCAAGATATCTGAATGCCTTTAAAAGTGTTTTTAAATTCTATTTTTAATGGCATTTTAAGCCATTTTTACAAACTTTATTTTTGGACAATTTTAGTCTTACAGCAAAAAAGACATCAATTTCATCTTCTAAACTTTTGTTACCAGGACATAAAGAGATGATATATTTTTCATGTTGATAGTGCATACATAATCTGATACTCTTACCAAATCTAAAATTTTGTGTGGATTCTTTTGGATTTTTCCTCATGTACAATCAAGACACCTATAAATAATATCAGTTTTGTGTTATCTTTTAGAATTTCCAATATGTAAAAATGATTACACATAATTTCAGCACTCTAAAAGCTGAGGAAGGAGAATCCTGAGTCTCAGGCTGTACCCTGATCCATAAAAATATAAAAATAAAAATGTGTGCTCATGCATGTTTGCATATGTGTGGATATGCATGTGTAGATTTGTGTCCACATGGGTATATGCAGAGGTCTGAAATAGATACTGGGAATCAACCTCAGTCAAACCCTTTTGATCTTGTGTGATTTTATAACATCACATTTTTCTCTAGCTACAAATTATTTTCCATAAAGCAAAATTCTTAGTAGTTAAAATAATACCACAGCCATAAGGAGCCCTAAAGTGTTCAGGGCTTAACATCTAGATCTATATTATTTGAGAAAGTCATCGGGGTGATGAGGAAACCTGCTCAGAAAGGACAGCAGGTGACAACCAGAGACATGAAGAAGCCAGCCTTACAGGATAAGAAAGTAGTTATTGGTGTCATAGAGTTCATGAATTTCCATTATTAGTGCAGCCAAAGCTACAGTTCAGCAGCTGGGCAGATGCTCAGTCAGCAAAGTGTTTCTTACCCAAGGATGAGGGCTTGAGTTTGACTCCTAGTATCCAGTTTAAAGAAATAAGATGTGATGGTTCTGGCTTGCTATGCCAGTATTAAGCAAGGAGAGACATGAGGACCCCTGGAGATCTCTGACCAGCCATGATAGCCCATTGGTAAACTCCAGGTCATTGAGAGACCCACGCTCAAGGGACAGTCAGTGACACCCAATACTTCTATGTGTAATACAGGTGCATTCACACACACACACACACACACACACACACACACTTCAAGCTTTGTTTATGTAACTTATCTTCTGAAGAGGCAGAATTAGTCACCACACAGCTAGGCTTCCATCTTTCCAAGGTTACCTTAGGTGACACTGCTCCTTTTTGCTTCTCTACAATCATTAGATTTTAAATGGCATGAGCAATCTACATTAATTTTTCTGCACAGTACCCATAATTTCCCAGTGTTTGGAATTTATTGACATGGAAAGTGATTCCAAAATCAGTTGAGCTATTCCAAAGAGTGAGCTGCCGAGGCTGTAGTGCAGCGATCCGAGTCTAAGAACCTATGGGACCTCAGAAATCATTCTATTGACAAAGTCAGGGGTATACACCCAAAGGGTCTGTTTCCAGTCACTTAACTGTTTTTTAAAGGCCAATGGGGGGATAGCAAACTTACCTTTATGCAAAGACTTTATTCAAATTGTTTCAAACCTTTCAGTAATATAAAAGAGGAAACAGCCTCCCTGTTTCAAGGGCAGAAGAGATCAGTTGCTGTGGAAAATGTCCTAAAATCAGAGGGGAGGGGTGGAATTCTGCACGAATTAGTACATGGCATTCTGTTTCTATGCAGAAGACTTTAGAAAGCATCTGACGGCTTCTCCCTCTCTGATAGCTTACTGTTCAGATACTTTTTCATGTGCTGTGTCCATTTATTACCACTCAGCAAGCCCTGACAGTTCAAACAGCTGTGGATGTTCCCGAGATTCTTTCCCATTACCGAGTGGCGCTCACACACAGACATGATCTCTAGTGCCCATGGGAGTGGGCCCTACAGAGCTGGGAGTAAGGGGGCAAAGGCATTGTGGGAGTGTTAGAGTAGTGATATTAGCAAAATATTTGCGCTATATCATAGGCCAGGAAGGAATGGAAAGGCCAGAACATCAGATGTACAGAAAGAGACAGCCGGTGGTACAGAGGCAGAGAGCAACATGGCGGCTGCAGTGGAGAGGCTAGGGGGATGTGTTCTAAAGTTGGCAGGACCTGGGTTTGAGTCTTTGATTCCCCTCTGTCTTAACATAGGAAAAGCAGTACCAAAAGTGTTATGGTCTGCATATGAAACATTCTCCCATGATCCTATGTGTTGAAGACTTGGTCTCCCGCTCGCAGTATTCACTTGGGAGATTCTGAAGACCTTGGGAGACAGGTCCAGGCTGGAGTAAGTGGGTCATGGAGCACATGCCTTTGAAAGTCAGACCCTTCTCCAGTTCCTTCTCCTTTCTCTCTGCTTTCCATCCACCATGAGGTGAGAAAAGCTGCTAGGACAGGATCCTGATCTCATTATGCCTTACCACCAGGCAGGAATCAACAGAGTCAGGAGCCCTGAACTAAGACGTCTGAAAATGGTAGCCAAAGCCACACTCTTTTCCTTGCTTTTGTTCCCTTGGGTTACTGGTTGTAACTACATGAAAATGACACCCATGAGGACATGGCTCATAGGCAGCCCTGACAATGAACCATCAAAATGCTTGGCATAAGGTCTGACCTGTGGTAAAGGCTTCCGCTACCATTCAGAAACCCAGAAGTATCTTGACGGAGATGACAGCTTGGAGTAGGACCTAAGTTCCCATGATAGGCAGACAGGTCTTCATCATAGTGATATGTGGGAAAGGTTAAAGTAAGGCCACCAGATGTCCAGATATAATGAAAGGAGAGAGATGGAGGATGGAGGAAATGAACTTTCTGATAGTGTGAGGTGTGGGTGTGTGGGAATGAGCCTGTCTGTGCGCAATATTTTTCCTCTGCCAACTGTAAGATCCCCCATGATAGAAGCCCTGCAATCCTGCCTCCTTAACATTCATTCACTGGATGAACGAATGAGTTCTTACAAACAGATAAGAGCCCAAGTCAGGAGGCTCAGACGCTGCCCCTTTCCCCATAGCTAGCCGCAGCCCTGGGATTCATACCGAGGACTTTTCTGGATGCAGGAACACGTCATGTCACACTACAGGCTTAAACAACATTTTCAACTCACGCATTAAATTATCTCTGACAAAGAGAAATGATTAGAGACATGGTGGTGGCTGGAGGGCAGCTCAGAGAGGACTAAGGCCAATAAAGAAAATAATAACACCAACAATTCTGGTTTATCCAAAAAAATAAAGTTCCACTAGATCCCAGTAGGTGGCAGCACCCGGCACCATTTTAAGTCCATTGCAAACAGGCTCAACCACCTCCGCTGAGAGTCTATATGGGCCAGGTGCTAGGATAGGACTGGATTTTATTCAAGCCTCGCAGTCACTTAACACTGGGAATATGAGCATCCTAATTTAAAGGATCTAACCTAAAGCTGCCAAATCTCATTGTCAACAGCTTGCTTGGGAAGACCTTTTCTGAGCAGAAGAATAGTACAACCTTGTGACTGAAGACTTCTCTGGATGAGACCTGGCTTCCTACAAGTGTCACTTAAAGGGCTCTTTTTGATAGATGAGAAGGTGGGGCATATGGTGGCCCCTGGGCCCAAATCGCCTGCTGTCTGCCTTGCTTCCTGACTTCCACCTTCAGCGGGACAGGCCCAGTCCTGGGCACACTGATGAAAGACAAGGCTCAGTAGGCTCCCGGTCTGCAACTGTTGTCTAACAGAAAATGTTTACTGAAGGGCCGGAGTTGTGGTTCAGTCACAGAGTTCTCATTCTGTGGGAAACAGGAGTTCAATCTGCAGGATGGCCAAAAAGGAAAATATTAAGCACCTACTCATGCCAGGGTTTACACTCCAAACACCAGCTTCCAGCCCCCACAAGCTTCACACCCAAACATGCTATCCTATTTTCTAGGATACTCAAGGTTCCCAGATGACTTCCGGAAGCCCAAGTGCTCAGGCCTGGTCTGGGAGCTGCTCTTTCCAGGCCACCAGGTCTGTCATGAGAATGAGTCAGTGTTTCTCTGCCATGGACCATGGCTTCAGTGCGTGATCTCACCACAAAGCACGGGAAAGGCAGAACTTAATCCTGTAGAAATGGCAGTCTGAATTAATTTTTTAAATTAGAAACAAGCTTGCTTCACAGGTCCATCCCAGCTCCCTCTACTTCCTCTCCTCCACCACCCCCTTCAAATGTTTAGAATTCTTAATGTCCATGTAGACAGACATTGAGTATAGGAATCTGGAGACAGGAATCATGTCTTAACATCACACCAGTTTCTGGAGGATCTCTTTATCTAGCATTGCCCTGTCATTTGCTGGTGACATGGGCCATCCAGCTCCATGGTCATTTATCACACAGGGTTCTGGTGACTGAACCCCAGCTGCCTTGAATTGCATAAAAAACAGAACATTGATAAATATGAGAGTTATAGCCACTAATGTTTATTAACCAATTTACACTTACAACTCAGCAAGGCAGATAAAACAATGAGGAAATTGATTTCTCCAGTGTCATAAAGACAAAAACTGGTAGAAATAATACAAAGTTCTGTGACAACTGGATTTGAACTTCCCAAATCATCTCAAAGGAAAATATACATTGTGCTTCTGTGCCCACTCTTCATCAAAGTTGACACAGTAGGAGGCTCATTCCATGGCAAGGACTATGGTTCATCTGTGGGAATTTTCTGCGTTAGTTCTGTTTTTTATCTTCACGACCATAAGCCTGAGAGAATGACATGGGGGCATTTATTTTAAGCACAGTTTGAGAGGTTTCACTCCACCATCATAGGAAGAATGTGGTAGACCACCTCACCTCAGGGTAGACAGGAAATACACCAGTATAGAATAAGGAGAGGTCAGGGCAATATAGAGCCCCCATGCCTCCAATTAAACCCCACCTCCCACACTCCAGCACCTCCCAATGACCTATTTAAATTCTGAATCAATCAATGGGTTAAACTATTAACTAGGTCAGACCCCTCCTGACTCAGTTAATTTTCCAGACTACCCACATTAATGATTTACTGGCATCCTAGATGTCCTGCAGTCCCACCAAATGGACAAACAAGATTAAGCATCACAGATGGAAACTCTCTTCTACACATTCTCCATCTGTGTACTGGCTGATATATAAGTGCTCAATAGATATCAGTTCCCAGGAGAGAAGGAATGAACTCATTATTGGGATAGAAAGATTGAGTCTTCATTCTTAAAAATGTCTGGTCCTCAGACTCCATGCCCCTTCTCTCCCCAGTGTGATTACCTCTAAGCTTCTTCCCTGCTCTATCGTCTGGAGGGAGATGTGGCAACGCACATCCAAAGCTAAGGCCATGGTGTGCAAAATAAGATGGGAGGAGAAACACAAGTGACTCAGTAGAGCCAGCAGCCTTTGCCAAAGGCTGGTGTGGTGATCCCAGAAAGCAACAGGTGCCTAGGAGAATGAATGCAATAGTGTCACCTGACAAAAGCCTGATGCATTAGCATTCCATGACACAAGCTTACAGAAAACTCCGTTAATATAATAAAATTATTAGTGGTGTAATAGTGGCCATGTACAATGTAAGGATCACCAACTGCTTTTTTATTGAATTTGAGGCATGCTTCATAGCAGTGAACACATACCTGGTACGGTAACCCTTGTTAAAACCAATGACTGGGGAAGGCACAGGCCCTGGAGAAAAATGTGCTACTGGTGTTTTTGCTAAATGAATATGTAGTTATTGTGCCTCAAAAATGTATATTATAGACTAGTGCCACTCTCAGCTTGAGTCAGGGAACTTTCTTTTTGCAGCAGGTGATGTTTAATGAAGAAATTTACACCTGGTCAAAGTGTTGAGAATAAGTCACTGTAGAATGTGCTTGTCTAAGTTTCATCACTTCCTCCAAAGCCCAGGAAACATCATAGCAGAGGAAGTAGAGAGATCCTAAGAGTTAGAGGATGGATAGAATCTCCATGAAACACTGCCTTCTGGATATGAGGCTGTAACAATCATGAATACACAGCCGAGGTAACTTCCTGCAGAGGCCTGCTCACTCGTGAGCACACACACACGTGCATGCACACACACGAGGAGAGAAGGGAATCTAGTTGGAAAAGAGTCAGTAGGAAGTATGGAAATGTGTAAGGGATGGAAATGAACAGGTGAATATGCCTATGGTATAATCTACATGTGTATGTAATTGTTGAATTGTGTGACTACAAAGAAAGAGAATTGATACTGCTGACAGGAACCATGGAAGCAAAGAAACTACAGAATTGGCACATGTGCAACTGCTGTGCTTAGAATTATGGATGCTCACCATTGGTTGCTTTATCTCTCTCATTGTGTGTGTTGAGAGAAAGAGGAGAGGGGGAGAGGGAGAGAGGGGAAAGGGGGAGGGAGGGAGGGATGGAGAGAGGAGAAATAGAGAGAGAAGAGAGAGTGAGACAGAGAGAGACAGACAGAGAGAGAGAGAGAGAGAGAGAGAGAGAGAGCCTGGTTTTGAAACCTCAAAGCCCACCCCCAATAATGCACCTCCTCCAACAAACCCACATGTACATCAACAAGACCGTGCCTCCTAACTACTTACTCCTTCCCAAACAGTTCTACTGACTGAGAAACAATTTCTTTGTTGACATTAACATTTTGAGTTTTCCACACAGAACAAGGAATTCCCTAACAGCAATATTCAAAAACTTCAGAAAGAAAATGGGGCCCCACTTCATCAACTCCACCTGATCCGACTTGATGAATCTGAACTGACAATTACCACCCTGAAACTGGTTTGGAACTACATCGTTCTACACAACAACAGACTAATTAAAAGACATGGTGCACCTTCTACACTCTGTCCAAGGCCTCAGACAAGAGCTTCAATCAACATAAGAACTTCAGTCAAGAACTTCAATCAAACATCTCCTGCCAAACAGAGAATGGGTACAAATGTTGTAGCCAGTCTCTTCGAGACTTTCACTACACTAACATTTTCTTCCTTCAGGATGCCATGAGATTTTCATCATGCCATTTCAGCAGAAAGCAATTCTGAGAATACTATGCCCACTTTCCTTATTATTGCTATTACAGGATAATTTATACCTGCTAGGGTTATTTTTCAATTATTTAGGGTTAAGATTGGAAGGAGGTATACAGACTTTGGCATCTCTTTCAGATAATCTTAGGGTTTAGATGGCATAGATATGCTTAGGACAGGGTAAGGTATACTGTAATTCAATGGGAATGAAGACACAACATACTCAAACTTATGGAACACATTGAAAGCAGTGCTTCGAGGGAAGTTCATAGCACTAAGTGCACACATGAAGAAACTAGAGAATAGTTACATTAGAGAATTAACAACACACCTTAAAGCTCTAGAACGCAAAGAAGCAAACTCACGCAAGAGAAGTAGATGCCAGGAAATAATCAAACTGAGGGCTGAAATCAAAAAAGTAGAAACGAGGAAAACAATACAAAGAATCAATGCAATGGAGAGTTGGTTCTTTGAGAAAATCAACAAGATAAGAAACCTTTGTGCAGAGTTACCAAACGGCAGAGTGTGAACATGCAAATTAACAAAATCAGAAACGAAAAGGGGAACATAACAACAGAAACTGAGGAAATTCATAGAATCATCAGGTCATACTTTGAAAACCTGTACTCCACAAAATTTGAAAATTTAAAGGAAATGGACAATTTTCTGGATAACTATCACTTGCCAAAATTAAACCAAGAACAGATAAGCAATTTAAATAGACCTATAATCCCTATGGAAATAGAAGCAGTCATCAAAAGTCTCCCAATCAAAAAAGACCAGGTCCAGATGGCCTCAGTGCAGAATTCTACCAGAAATTCAAAGAACAGCTTATACCAATTCTTCTCAAAGTATTCCACACAATAGAAGCAGAAGGGTCTTTGCCAAACTCTTTCTATGAGGCTTCAATAACCTTGATCCTCAAGCCACACAAAGACACAACTAAGAAAGAGAACTTCAAACCAATATCCCTAATGAACATTGATGCAAAAATACTCAATAAATTACTGGCAAATTGGATCCAAGAGCACATCAATACAATCATTCACCACGATCAAGTAGGTTTCATCCCAGGGATGGTTCAACATATGAAAATCCCTCAATGTAATCCACCATGTAAACAAGCTGAGAAACAAAAATCACATGATCATCTCACTAGATGCTGAAAAAGCCTTTGACAGAATCCAACCCCCCTTCATGATAAAGGTCTTGGAGAGATCCAGGATAACAGGAACATACCTAAACATAATAAAAGATATATATAGCAAACTAACAGCCAACATCAAACTAAATGGACAGAAACTCAATGCAATTCCGTTAAAATCAGGAACAACAAAAGGCTGTCCATTCTCTCCATATCGCCTCAATATTGTACTTGAAGTTCTAGCTAGAGCAATACAACAACAAAAGGAGATCAAGGGGATACCAATTAGAAAGGAAGAGGTCAAACTTTCACTATTTGCAGATGATCTGATAGTTTACATAAGGGACCCCAAAAAACTCTACCAGGGAACTCCTACTGCTGATAAATGTTGCTTATTTTCTAAGTGTTCATGTGTCATACTGTGTAAACAATCAAATGTGTTAAAGGTGTGCATGAAGGCAGACATATGCATATGCACACAAATATGCTCAGTATGAAAAGCCAAAGGAACTGTTCCAAGAATCGTAGTTGATGTGCCTATGGTACATATCAGGAAAATGAAAAGCCTTTTTACCTCTGTGTGGGGAATCTTGGAGTTGTCCTGGTCTAGCTGCCTTGAGAGACATGTGTCATAAGGTTATTTTTTCATGTACTTTGTGGCTCCTGGTGCACTGTGGACTAGTTCCTGAGGAACTGAGATACTCCCTCAGGTAGTGAAGCATTCAGGCCTCCTGTGTATCTCTTTGTTCCCTAGAGGTCAGTGACACATAGAAGCTTGATGGAACAATTAGTCTTAGACGTTGATCTTCTGTACTCCTTATATCTTGCAAAGGCCATGAATCCTGGAAGATACAATTGTATTCTTCCTGGCAATCATCATCGTATTCTGTTTCTGGTAAGAGTGTAAAAAGTCTCATTGCTTGCAGTAAACTTGTCTCAGCCTCAGTCCCTCTCCAACCCTGCCTGGTTTTTACTCGAAGGACATATACTCAGGAGACCCTGGTTTGACACACCTTGGCATACCTTGGCACACTGATTTGTATTTCCTAACACAATTTTAGATGCTACTTTATAAAACATATATGTGCCCAAGTTCTGGTCAGAGACATTGCTAGATACATCACTAAACATGAATCATAACAGTCATAAGCATGCTTTTGGCTAATAAATATATGCATAATATTAAATGCTCCCAATAACAGTGGTCCAGGTGTGTTTCATTCTAGAACTGGCTATTATTTGTATATGTACTCAACCATGTATGTTCAATTACATTAAGAACTGGCTACAATGAACGGAATACGGTGAGATTAAATTTTAATGCTTATTTAGAAAAATAGATTTTTAATTTCTACATGTCCATAATGTATATTAATTTTGGAACAAGAGAACAAATGAGAGATAGACACAAAGCTCTCTTAGAAATATGATACTAAGTGAAAGATAAATTCAATGGAGAAACTATAGTGAAACCTATGTGTTCTGTGCTACACAGTTTTGCAACAAAAGCCACTAGGGATGACAATTGATTAATCTTTGATTAATTAAATATTTGGATATGTTACACATTTATTAAAGCATAAAATTTTTATTGCTGCATTAATACAACTTATGCATAATATTAAGTTTCATGTACCAAAAATGCTTGCTCAAATTTAAGATTTCCCATATTGAGTGAAAAGTATCTGTAGTATAATTTTCCTACAACCATTAATTTTCCCTCCATTATTAGTTGGTAGTATCTCACAGTATTTACATAGTTTGCATAAATACATACTTTATATATTTACATATGATTTATATAAATAACCATATATACACTATATAATTTATGTATTTTTCTGCTCAATTTTTAAATAAAAATGATTTGTAGACTACTACTAAATTTTAAATTTAAACACCACAGAAAACATGTTTCAGTCCAGTAAATGATTTCCTAAAGTAATTTTACCTTGATACGGTTGCTGCATATATCCCTGTGTGGTGTAAATAAGGTAATTCCTGAGGAAGATTCATTGAGAGTTCTGTAAAGGACAATACACAACAAAATGGGTAAAGTGAATTCACTCTAAAATGTGGCAAAAGTTTAGCTGTTTGAATAGTATATAGTTTTTATGCACTTCTAAGGATTTTTAAAAGAAATAAAACAATCTAATTTTACATACCAATCCCAGTTCACTCTTCTTCCAATCCTCCCACTCCCCCAACATCCACCCTCCACCATCCACTCCTCAGAGGTGAGGCCTCCCATATGCAATCATCAAAGTCTGTCAAATCATTTGGGGCAGAACCACGGCCATCCACCCTGTATGTATGCTGTGGAAAGTATCCCTCCATAGGGAATGAGCTCCAAAAGAAAGTTCATGACCTAGGGATAATTACTCGTTCCACTGCTCCATAAACTGCTCAAGTCCCCCAAGCTGTCAACCACATTGAGGGAACTTCTAAGGGTACTAAAGGACCATCTTGATACCTCATTCTGCCTCTGTCAATCAGTGAGATCGTCAATAAAGACTCACCTATACTTTCATAACAAATAGTATCAGGGAGTACTTGGAAGATTTTGAGAATACTTTGTGTTCAAATTTGTCTATCCTGGAGCTGGGAAGGTGACTCAGTGTGTAAAATGCTTGCTGCGCAGGATTGGAGACTTGAGATCAGATATCTGAAAATATGTAAAATCTAGGTATGGTGGAAATCCAGAAGCAGGGATAGGGCTTTGACATGTCTAGATCCCCCAACCCTCTGGGCAAAATAATCTAGAGTTCTGGTGAGCAGATGTGTCTCAAAAACTAAGGTGGAGAGCAATGGGGGAATATGCTCGAAGTTGTCCTGTGGCCTCCATCTGTCGATACACACACACACACACACACACACACACACACACACACACTCACACCCCTGAGGGAGGTGAAGATTCTTAAAAGAATCACAGATACAAACAACCAAGAGTAGCAGCAGCTGTTTCTCTATGTCAGCAAATAAACTAAATGAAGTGTCATCAACAGACCCTAAGTTAGGGACTCTGACAACTATCTCACTGACATTCCATGACTTCTTTGCCAGCCAATCCTGTCTCACAAGGACAAAAATGACTTATGAAAAGAAGGAGTAAGGAGGAGGCTCCTGTCCCCTGGGCCATAAATATTTTCATTTGTCAATTTCCAGTTCTGAGTACTAAAGGAACTTTAAAAATTTTGGTGACACAAATGGTGTCACATTCCTGTCTGCTACAGAGACTCTTCCTGGTGGCTCAATGTATTGTTAAATTTCTCAACTGTAGACTTTTTCAGTTCCTACAATTAAACACAACATGAACTACATTTTTCAAGACTTCTTTGAACCCCATATATTCAAATAATTTAATTTAATTTTAATTATCCTGGAGCTTTTCTATATCATATTTATAAAAATTGTCACAAACCTCAATATTTTGATCTTTAAATACCTTATTCCTGCTTATCTTCCTGTTTCTCCTTCACAGATTATCCTTTCCCTGTAATTCTATGCTCATGTTTATCCTGGGCTCACTTGTAAATTTCATTCTTCTTCTCCTCTTTTACGACCACCAGATTCACTCTCCTTTCTGTTATTAAAGTATCTGCTTACATAGGGATAAATGAGGAAGGGGACATCATATTTAATAAAAATCATTTTAAATCTTAGTTGGCCACTGACTATTCCATAAAACACAGTTTGCTACCTTTGAGCTCTAGGTTCTCCATAAGAAGAACCATTTGCTGGAGATGTTAGTGTTTCATATCTTAGTTGCCAAGATTCCTTAAAAGACAAAACCCCAATACCTCTGCTTTTGTCTCTCTATCAACTAAAAATGAATACATAACTAAGAGAAATTGAAAAATATAATAGAAACAGGAAGAAAAGTAAAACACACAGCAAAGACCAACAAGTCATAGAGGAAAGTGAATAGACAAAGGGGAAAACATCCTATAACTGGACACTAGAGAGAGGCATTAACTCTAAGAGAAACCAAACTGACTAACACACACATGGAATGAGAAGCTTATAACATCATCTAAACAGATACCATGATGAGTACAACATGGCTACATGAACTTGTGCTTTAATTCTAGTAAAATAAATCACCTTCAAGACTTGGCTCAGCTCGCTTATATGATGTGAGGAGCCGCCCTCGCTATCGCTATTGCCGTTAGAAGATGGCGCTGACATCTGCTGTCAGTTGGAGTTAACCGTTAGAAGATGGCGCTGACATCTGCTGTCAGTTGGAGTTAACCGTTTAAGCTGTGCCTCTCCCGTGGCGTCATCTGGGGTGATGTGCAAACCACCAATCCCGGCTCTACACGTCTCACTCGGAGCTCCTAGGCTTATATAAGGGGCTGGGTTTCTTAGCTTGGGGTCTCCCTCTAAGAAGCTGATCATCTATCTCTCAAGATGCATTAAAGCTTTACTGCAGAAGGATCCGAGTGTTCTGCGTCGTTCTTGCTGGCGAGACGGTAGCGCGGGACATCTGGTGCCGAAACCCGGGAACTCTTCAACATCGCCGGCGCCGCGGGAGACCCCTCGGAAGACGGGGCGGATTCAGAACTGCAGGGACGTAAGTTCAGAGAGGTATGCTTTATCCTGAACACCCCCTTTCTCGACTTTGGCCTTAGTTTGTCATCACCGTGGGACGGGTCAGTGGAGGCTTTGGTGCTAGTCCTGTTTGTCCTTCTCCTTCATCGTGGCTGGTGCTGACAGAACGGTGCTGTCAGTCTGGTGCTGTCAGTCTGGTGCTGTCAGTCTGGTGCTGTCAGTCTGGTGCTGTCAGTCTGGTAACGGAGTTGAGCGCCGTTTTTAGATAAGCCGCTAGCGCGATGGGGTTGTCACAGTCAGTGGTTACTGCCCTACAGACTGTGCTAAAACAAAGAGATCTTAAAATTGCACCACGAACACTTCAAAATTTTGTGAAGGAGGTAGATAGAGTGGCACCATGGTATGCTTGTTCCGGGTCCCTCACTGTGGCCTCATGGAACAAGCTAGGTAAAGAACTAGACAGGAAGCATGCAGAAGGAGATCTCCACTTAGGTACCAAAGCCATTTGGAAGCTAGTTAAAAACTGCTTGGAGGATGAGGCCTGTCACCCTGCTATAATAGAAAGTCAGGGAACCTTAGAGGAAGTTCAGGATAGCATGTCAGAAACTGAACGGAGTGAGAGAATGGGAGCTCGCAAAAGGAAAGACATGTCTAAGAAAAAAGGCCCTCCCAAGAAGTTAAGAAAGGGGAGAGAAAGAAGGGAGTGATCATTCACCCCCTAACAAATCTAAGAAAAGAAAAAGCCAGAATCTAGTCTATACCCTACAGTAGAGCTAGAAGCCTTGGAGCTAGATAATTCTGATTCTGACACTCTGTATTCTAGCGAAGAAGGTGGTCTAGAGGAGGAGGTGGCACGGTATGAGGAAGAAAGATATCACCCTGATAGACACCGGCCACTGAAAACAAAAATGAATGTGAGGCCACCGCCTATAAATCCGGCGGGCTCACGCCCCTCAGCGCCTCCGCAGTATGAGCTTCGGCTGAATACTGGTACTGACTCCTTTTACCTTTAGAGGAACGGAGAAAACTACAAGTAGCTTTTCCAGTATTCGAGAATGCGGAAGGCGGAAGAGTACATACCCCTGTAGATTACAATCAAATCAAAGAATTGGCCGAATCCGTTCGTAATTATGGGGTCAATGCTAACTTTACCACATTACAGGTGGAAAGGCTTGCTAATTTTGCCATGACTCCCACTGACTGGCAGACGACAGTGAAAGCAGTGCTTCCCAACATGGGACAATACATGGAATGGAAGGCTCTCTGGTATGATGCAGCCCAGGCACAAGCTAGAGTTAATGCCACGGCTGAAGATGAGAATCAGAGGCAGTGGACATTTGAAATGCTGACAGGTCAGGGTCAACATGCCCTTAATCAAACCAACTACATCTGGGGTGTCTATGGTCAGGTGTCGGCCGCCGCTATTAAAGCATGGAAGGCCCTCACAAAAAGGGAGAGTCCAGTGGACACCTTACAAAGATTGTCCAAGGACCCCAAGAGCCATTTTCAGACTTTGTGGCCAGAATGACAGAGGCCGCCAGTCGCATCTTTGGTGATTCAGAACAAGCTATGCCCCTGATTGAGCAACTTGTCTATGAACAAGCAACCCAGGAATGTCGAGCGGCTATCGCCCCTCGCAAAAGCAAAGGTTTACAAGATTGGCTCAGAGTGTGCAGGGAGCTGGGGGACCCCTAACCAATGCAGGACTAGCTGCCGCCATTTTACAAATGCACAGGCGTAGAGATTTATCTAGTCGAAAAGCTTGTTTTAATTGTGGGAGAATGGGGCACCTTAAGAAAGATTGTCAAGCCCCTGAAAGAACAAGAGAATCGAAGCTTTGCCATCGTTGTGGTAAAGGTTATCATAGGGCTAGCGAATGCAGGTCAGTCCGGGATGTAAAAGGGAGGCTTCTGCCCCCTATTGAAGAACCCAAGGTACCCCAATCAAAAAACGGGTCACGGGGCCCATGGTCCCAGGGCCCTCAGAAATATGGGAACCGATTTCAGAAAAGCAATCAAGAGGAAGTAGAGGCTTCCGAGGAACCCCCGGAATGGACTTGCGTGCCGCCTCCGACTTCTTACTCATGCCCCAAATGAATGTTCAACCGGTCCCAGTCCATTCCCCTGGACCTTTGCCCCCTGCCACCATTGGGCTTATTCTGGGCCGTGGCTCCTTAACTTTACAGGGACTCATTATATATCCTGGAATTGTTGACCCGTATCATAAAGAGGAGATTCAAGTTCTCTGTTCTAGCCCTCGGGGTGTATTTTCTATAAAGCAGGGAGATAGAATTGCACAACTGGTGTTGCTGCCCTCCCTCGGGGATGGAGAAACCTACACTTTACAAAAAAGGGCTATGGGATCTTCTGGAAGTGATTCAGCCTATCTGGCTATACCCCTAAATGAGAGACCTACAATAAAATTGTTAATTAATGGAAAAGAATTTGAAGGGATAATGGATACGGGAGCAGACAAAAGCATTATTTCACTCCATTGGTGGCCGAAGTCTTGGCCCACTGTTGTTTCATCTCATTCTCTACAAGGTCTTGGATACCAGTCCTCTCCTGCCATCAGTGCCTCAGCCTTAACCTGGCGGAATGCTGAGGGCAAACAGGGATGTTTTACCCCCTATGTGTTGCCACTCCCTGTAAATTTATGGGGACGGGATGTGTTACAAGCCATGGGCATGACCCTAACTAATGAATACTCCCCCAGGCATCAGCCATTATGGCAAAGATGGGGTATACAAACGGTAGAGGCTTGGGTAGGCAAGAACAAGGCAGAATAACACCCATTACACAACATGGAAATCGGGGTAGAAAAGGACTGGGTTTTATTTAGGGGCCGTTGAGGCTTCACGACCCATACCATGGAAAACAGAGGAGCCGTTATGGGTCTCTCAATGGCCTCTATCCTCTGAAAAATTAGAGGCTGTCACAAGATTAGTGCAAGAACAGGAACGGCTGGGGCATCTAGAGCCTTCTACCTCCCCATGGAATACACCAATTTTTGTTATTAAGAAGAAATCTGGGAAGTGGAGATTACTCCATGACCTGCGGGCCATTAACAATCAGATGCATCTTTTTGGCCCTGTTCAAAGAGGCCTTCCTTTGCTTTCTGCACTTCCTCAAGATTGGAAGCTTATTATTATAGATATTAAGGATTGTTTCTTCTCTATTCCACTTTACCCACGGGATAGACCAAGGTTTGCCTTCACTATCCCTTCTCTTAATCATATGGAACCAGACAAGAGATTTCAGTGGAAGGTACTGCCGCAAGGCATGGCCAATAGCCCAACAATATGTCAGCTGTATGTGCAGGAGGCTTTGGAGCCAATTAGGAAGCAATTTACATCTTTAATCATGATCCATTATATGGACGATATTCTTATTTGTCACAAAGAGTTAGATGTTTTACAAAAGGCTTTCCCCATGCTGGTGGCTGAATTAAAACAGTGGGGATTAGAGATTGCCTCAGAAAAGGTTCAAATTGCAGATACAGGCCTCTTTTTGGGCTCAATGATTACTCCCAAAAATATAGTTCCTCAGAAAATAGAAATTCGCAAAGACCACTTACAAACATTAAATGATTTTCAGAAACTTCTGGGAGATATAAATTGGTTGAGGCCCTTTTTAAAAATTCCATCTGCTGATCTAAAACCCCTCTTCGATCTCCTGGAGGGTGAGCCTCATATCTCCTCACCCAGAAAATTTACCCCTGCCGCCCACCGAGCCTTACAAATGGTGGAAGAGGCCTTACAGGAAGCACAATTACAACGTATTGAGGAGTCACTACCTTTTAATCTGTGTGTTTTTAAGACAGCTCAATTGCCAACTGCAGTCCTGTGGCAACATGGACCATTACTTTGGATTCATCCAAATGCTTCCCCTGCTAAGATTATTGACTGGTACCCTGATGCTGTTGCACAGCTCGCGCTTCGCGGAATAAAAGCAGCTGTTACACATTTTGGCAGGGATCCTGATTCCTTGATTGTGCCTTATACTGCTGCACAAGTTCAGACCTTGGCAGCCACATCTA